CCGCCACGTGGGAATAATTTAACATCGGCCAATCGTGTTATGCAAATCTGCATATCCTCGGCGGGAACTCTATCCACGCCGGAACTCTTCACCATGCCGAGAATTCCCCTGCCTTACCGTGCCTTGTGCTGGAAAGTTCCACTGTGTCGAGGCACTGATCCAAATCAGCTCTGACACGTCTAGTAATTGTTCCACTAAATGGGGTATTATCTGCAGCCCTGAGTGGATCATGGGTTTCCTGCGCCATCATGTTTTTACAGGAGGGATGCTAAAAGCAGTGGTTCCCAACCTCAGGTTGCGACCTAAATGAAGATCGTGGGGGCAATGCCGGCAGTGCCGCACACAAAGGATGAGCTGCACCACGTGCCGGGAGCTTCCCTGCCCCTGCCCGCACCCCCACCTCTGGGCCACCGCCACTGCGCTCCGCTCCCAGCAGCAGGGCACAGTAAAAAAAGGTTGGGAACCACTGGTTAATAGGAACCTGAGCTGTATAGCTTAGGAATTTAAATTTAAAGAGCATGACTGTTATATGCTAATGACCCTATTCAAAAGCCAAGGTGAGAATAAAGATAGGAATGAAAAGAATAAAAATAAAATGAGAATTAAAATATTAAAATATTGGTGAAAAAAGTAAAATAAATGTGTAAAAATATATGTAAAAATTAATTAAATTAATGAAAGTAATGAAATGGCAATTAAATGATCTAATGAATGAAACAGCACAACTTTTGGTGCTCTGTACATATCAGCATCCTGTGAGCTATAGGCGCCCCCTGCTGTAATTTAGTACAAAGAGATCAGGGGGGTGGATTGTTATGCGGTGCCCCCTGCTGTAATTTACTGTGAATAGTGCACTGAGTATTTTATGAGATTTTTGAGTGGCCACATCTACACAGTGGTGAAAAAAATGAAAACCCACTGTTTCAATGTAGGGGGCATAGAATGAAACCATGATGAGGACTAAACCCCTGTCACATGTACAAGCACCCAGAGATGTCTTTTTGGGGGAGGAAA